GAGAAGGAGTAACTGGGGGGGAAGGAGAAAAAGACTGTGCATCGACATTGTTTTTGTTGTTGTTGTTGTTTTTTTTTTTTTTGAATTGTTGTAATGAACTCTTGTACAAAGCTGTGAACGAATAAAATTTTAGTTGTGTTTGTTATTTGATTATTTATGCTTGTGGATCTTAGATAAATGAGGCGTGGGCGAAGTGTGTGTAGAACTCCTTGTTAATAAGAGTGAAATTGAAGCTTGTAATAAGGACTCAATGCAGAGTGAAGTTAAGAATTCCACAATGCAGAGTGAAATTTAAAATGTAATAAAATGATAGGCCTGAGAAAGTTAAATGTAATAAAATGATAGTGAAATTTAAGAACTCCACAATGCAGAGTGAAATTTGAAATGTAATAAAATGATTGGGAAAAAATATATATTATTTTTCAATTTTTGTAGGATTTAAGCAAATAATCTGTAATATTGATCAAACTGAAAAGTAAGTTTTGAAACTGTAAAATGTTACAGTTTCAAAGCATTATTCTATTAAGCTGGAAAACAAGTTGTAAAATTACAAAATTTTACTATTCTGAAGAATGTTATGAAACTGTAAAATTTTACAGTTTTAAAGCATGCATGATTCATTTCAGCACCAAAAAAGCTGAAACTGTGAAATTTTACAGTTTTCACCGTTTATAACTAAAACTTAAAAACAACTTATTCAGAACTTGAAATTTTTCTCCATTAAAATAGAAAAATAGATGTGTGTAACAGAGCAAAGGAAGAAAAATTGAGAAATCGAACGAGAGAATAGATATAAAAAGAATATTGTACTCCGGCAACTATTTTTGGTTTAAACCTAGTCGGATCTCATGTAGATCTACTCAGGTCTCATGTAGATCTGAATAGATCTACTTTTCTTCTTCGCCGTCGGTGAATATGAAGTAACGAGTTGATGTTTGTGGTTGGTGATTGCCGGTGAACCCCAATCAATGGTGGTCGTTGGTCACCGATGACTATATATTAGAAAGAGAGAGAGAAACAAGGAAGGTGTAATCACCGATTGTCAGACATAATAAAGAGAATAAGAGGAAAACGCAAAAAAAAAAATAGAGAGATGAAAACGTAAAGAATGAGAGAAAACACAGAGAGAAACAAAGAGAGGAAAACGTGTGGGACTTTTGGGTCTACTCAAAAAGTTGTTAAATTAAATAGTGTACACATATTTCAAACAAGACCTATGGATAATTTTCCCTTTATTTTAAGTTAATTTGGACCTTTTTTAATTTTTTTGGGACTTAAAACATACCTAATATATTACACTAAACTATAATAGAAGGGGGTTCCTTTTTTAAGTCTATTTTGAGAGATTCTAAGCCATGGCCTAGTAGGTCTATGCCTAGGAACGGCCCTGGAGAGAAAGGACATGTATTGTCTATAATATTTAAATTTTATTTGTAAAATGATTATTTTAATTAATTTTGTAATTTTTTAAAAATAATAAATGAAAAATATAAATATTGATACAACAATTTACAATAATTTTTTTTAATTTTTTTAATTAAAAACTCACTTGCCGAACGGAACTTTAATAAAACAAAATCATTGACCACCATCAAAGAGAGAGAAGTGGGAGAAGAAAAAATCGAGAGAATGAGACAAACAGTTAGGTCTTACGAGTGCACATTTGACAATTAGCATTTTTAATGGAAATAAGATACAAACCATGTCTATTGATATTGGGGTCTTTTGGGAAGTAAAAAAAAAAAAACAAAAAAGTTAGTTTTTAATTATCTTTTCAAAATAATTATATTTTTATTTTTTTATACGGTTTTTTAAAAAAATTTAAAAAATCAAAAAGTTGGTTTTTATCAACTTTTTAAAATAATTTTTTATATTATTAATTTTTTAATTTAGGCTAAAGTTTGATATCTTCAAAAAAAAGTCAAAAAGTCACTATCCTATTTAAGTCACATCATCTTATTTAAGTCACATCACCTCTCTATCACATCACTTTAAACCCAACCCATATTTTATAAAAAGTAAAAAAATGTACTTATTTAGAACATCCCAACCAACCCCTTATTTTATCTTTTTATGAGTAAAATAATTTAAAAAAACAAAAAAAAACCTCCCAACTTTTTATGGCAAAGTGTCATGTTGAATGAGTGTCCACTTTTCTAACTTCAACACTATTTTGTCATAATTTTCCTTTGTAGAGTATAAAAATTTGAGTAGGTGTAACTTTGTAAGGGCCAATTGCAAGAAAATAAGATTGAGGCAAAATAATTACATTATTAATAGAATTTTTTAGTGCAAGTTTGTCATAACGTGTAAGCCTTACTTGTGTAAATTCGCAAATAACACTTAACAGACACATGAAAAATATGGACCCAAAAAAAAAGGCTTATTATGAATTTGGATGGAAATGACTATTTTGAAAACCAGGTTATATGTCTATTTTTTAATTTTTTCTGATTTTTTAATAAAAAGATTATAAAAAAATAAAGAGATAATATGATTCAAAAAAATTAAAAAAACTAAAATAGGCCAAAAAAAGCTTATTATGAATTTGCAATTACTTTCTCATTATTTCACTAATTTACAACTTGTCCCCGTTATAATTCACCTAGTCATCTTATTAATCATTCATCATCATTAATCACCGTTGAATCTCAACAATATTTAAATTGTGTTCGAATTTTAAATTTAAAGAAAAATTTATTGTGAGAAAGAAAAATATAGAAGAAAAAAGTGAATAAAATAGAAATTAAAATTTTATTACTTTTTCTCTATAAATTTTTATACAAATTCAAAATTCGAACAGTCTTGAAATAGAGAATAAGTAGCAAAAACAATAAAATAAAAATAAAAATTGCGACACAGAGGATCGTGTACCACAGGGCACAGAGTGGACTTGTTCATGGTCAACAATTTCGCGTCGTGCGATTTAGTCGCGTCGGAATGTCATGATTAAAGGTTGTCTTGTGTGACGTTATAGTGTAGGCTGGACTAACTGACCCTTTGACATTCGGACCTCTGTTTAACAATGAAAAATTCAATGCAATACAATAAAGGAGTTTTCTTAAGTGTGCAAGTGCACACCATGTGCCACTTACACAAAAAGTGTAAGTGAAAGGTGTAAGTGTAAGTATAAGGTGTAAGTGTAAGGTGTAAGTGTAAGGTGTAAGGTGTAAGTGGGTTGCACATGGTGTGCAACCTCAAAAAATGTGTAAGTGTAAGGTTTAATTTTTTACAAAAAGTGTAAGTGTAAGGTGTAAGTATAAGTATAAGGTGTAAGTGTAAGGTGTAAGGTGTAAGTGGTGCAACCTCAAAAAAGGTGTAAGTGTAAGGCTTAATTTTTTACAAAAGGTGTAAGTGTAAGGTGTAAGTGTAAGGTATAAGGTGTAAGGTGTAAGTTGCACACCATAACCAAACCCGTTGCTTTAATACTTGAGCGTGGTAAGACTTTACTTCACACTGCATTAGTTTTATTTTATTTTTTTATTTATTTATGGTGACAATAATATTTTAGTTTTATTTTACTCTGTAAGAGGAGTTAACTTGAGCCCATTAAATTAATTGGGCCCAATCAAACCCCAATCAAAAAGCCCAAAATTTGGTGAGTTTTGAGAAATTATTGTCAAATAGGCCCAAGTAAATTCTATTGAACGAACCCATAAGAAAGCCAACAAATTGGGTCGATGAAGATCCATCAAGCATATATTTCTAAAGAGAGTCCAACAAGCCCACCGAGGAGGCTTAGATCATATGGGCGTCCGAGGAAGATTAACCGTTGCTTTCAAAAGATATGAAACCCTCAAAGGAGATCCATTTTTCGAGGTATTGGCTTAGTCTTGAAAGAGTTCGAAACTACGAACTTAGAGGCCTATTTAAATTTGGACTCAAAAAGGTTTGGATCCACGAACCTAGAGATCTGAAGCACTTGGCTTCGAACGGATTCGAATGCAATTTAGAAGTCACTCCGTTAATGAGTCCCAGAACATTTGTGGCCTCGAAGTTTTCCGGGATCTACGCACCAGAACCATGGGCGTAACGGAGTCCGAACCAAGAACCCGATCCCAAGGATGATGAGTGGAGATAAATTCACTCTTCGGTTAAACTAGCTTATATTTGGGTCGAAGTGGCACGATCTAGGGGGTCCCTGAGACTCTGCAATATTTGTGGTAAGGCGTTCTCTTGAACTACCCTTGAACCTTCGGCGGTTGGACGTCCTCTAGGACTACCCCTGACCCTTTGGGATGATTGGGGATCATTGGTTAGGTGTGGCTAAGAAGAAGGGTTCGCAGAAAGGTTGTTCTCCTCTTTGGGGTTTTCCTCATCTTCGGAGAGGTCACCTCCACAGATAAGGTGATTAGAGAGAATATTCTCCATATACCTTGCACATGGGCTCCATCCTACATCATGAGGTGTCTATAAATAGCACCCACCCATAGCTTTACAAGAGATGGATTTTTTAGGGATTTTGGAGAGACCATTTTTGGGAAAGAACTAATTTCCTTTCTCCATTATCTACTTTGAGAGTGAAAGTGGGAGATCCATGGGAGAGTCTTGCCATTATTGTCTCTCTAACTACTTTGCCTTCTTCTTCACCCAATCTCTTATCTCCATCATCTCTTTGCTATTGTGTTCCTAGTTGTAACTATTGAAGAATCTAAGCCTCTCATCATTTTCTAAAAAATTTGAATTTTCTTCAAAGATCTTTGAAGATTTTTGAATTTCATACATACTCAATAAAGATTGTTTTAGGTATGAATTATAAGTTCGTTTTTGTTTTTATTACAAAAAGACGAATAAAAAAATAAAAATATTATATGACTTAAATAAAATAATAAATTAATAAATTACTTGATATATATGTTAAAAGAGACTGATAGAGACTGATAGAGAAAATTTGTTAAAAGATTTGGCTATATATGTTAAAAGAGACTGATAGAGAAAATTGGTTACATTTCCATTTATTAATAGCTTGATTTCCATCCTACCTAGCCTTTTTCGTTCTTTCAAAAAGCCAAAAAAACAAAAACAAAAACACAGAGAGAGAGAGAGAGTGAAAAAATGGCAAATTCAAATTATCACATTCAAGGAGTAATTCAAGGTGCCCACATGAAGTACATGTTGTCCCAAAGCAATTTTTCTACTTCCATGTTCATCAACCACACTCAAATCCTTGCAAACATCTACATTGAACCTCACCAATCCTTCTGTTTGTGGTGACAAAAAGACCTTCTCAAAACCCATTAAGTGCTTCTGAGGTGAATTGTGCACTTTAGGGGGACTCAAAAACAAGAAAACTGTCTGGCCTCCGCTCATTTTTCCGGTGTTTCTAACCCTCAAGTGGATGTTAAAGTTCAAATTCCGACAACTCTGCTCATCAACAACATCAATAGACTTGCAATTAGAAGAGTGACAAGCATGATTGTTTGCTAAGGGGATTGAGACTAGCTTAGTTGCTTGAATTAGGTGGTGGTTGAACGCAGTGTAGCTTAGTCCATGCCCAAATGTATAAATGGTTGGACCAGTGTAAAACCGGTAGGTTCTACCTGGGTAGCCCGTGAAAGGGTCCGGTCTCATGTTCATGTTTGTCATTGGAATGTTCTTGGTATATGACTGTGGATACCATGACATGGGCAGCCTCCCACCTGCAATAAAAACACAACCATGAATTCAATTTTAACAGACATGGGGGAAAATGCAAGTTGAGAAATTTATCATTGTATACTAATTTGACCCAATTCAAGAATTTATTTGGAATTTGTTCAAAATCAATGTGTTAAAAGTGCAAAATAATACACTTACTTGGATTGTAATACCCGAAAATCACATCCGCGATGGCTGCGCCACCAGCTTCACCAGGGTACCCGACCCATAGGATGCTCGTTATCTTATCAATATCTTTCGCAAATTGCACGTCCATGCCCCCTCCAGACATTATGACAAGAATTACAGGCCCCTTGGATGTACTTGCAATTTCAGTCACTAGAAGTTGTTGCTGTCCTGGAAGAGTCAGATCAACTCTGTCGTGACCCTCTGTTTCTATAGATTGATCCGCACCCATTACTAAAATAGTTGCATCTGATGAAGCTGCTATTTTCTTAGCATCACCTAATTGGGCAGCACTACATGCCACCTCAGCCTCGGCACATCCAGGTGCGTAGGCAGTTGGTACTGATGCTGTGAGGCCTTGCAAAGGAGTTGTGTACTTGCACGGAGTGCCTGCAACATAATATCCAAAATGATTTACAAATGTGGTTTTTTTTTTTTTTTTTTTTTAATCGATGTTTTTTTAATTGCGTACCTTCATAGTTGCCAATCATGGTGAGCGTGGCATTGGCATTGGGACCTATAACCGCCAAGGACTTTATGGCAGTGGGAGATAGAGGAAGCGAGCCTCGGCTGTTCTTGAGCAACACGATCCCTTGCCTGGCTGCCTCACGGGCCAGCTCTTGATTCTTTGGGGTGCATACGTCTTTTGGACCAAGCTTCCCATAGTGTTGCTTGCTTGGATCACCATCAAAGAAGCCAAGGCGCATCAACGTTGCAAAATTGTTAGATATAGCCCTGTCAATGGCCGATTCATTCACTAGCCCGGCTTTCACTGCACCTTCTGTGTATTTTCCTAGGTAAGCTCCACAATTGAGGTCTAGCCCTGTTGAATCAAATTAGTCAGTTGATCATTTTGGCATATAAATTTCTTTAGGATGGAATTTTTTTAATTATTTGTCGGCTGTCATATGCTGAAGTGTTACCAAATCAAGAAGGTAGGTATTATCTCTTGAGTTAATTTAAGTGTTTAGCTTAACTAATCCAAAACTATAAATGTTTTGATTGATTGAATCTAAGGGTGGAAATCTTGGTCACCTGCCAATAGAGCCTTGGCTGCAGCCTCCTCGGGTGTTTTTGTGTAGTGTTGGTGCTTATAGAACACTTCTACTGAATCACAATCCGAAACTATGTATCTGCGAAATCAAAAATTCATGCATATAGAAGTTTCAAATGTTAACTCGAATGGCGATGATGGGTTAGAAAAGGTCATGAAGAGTATGGGATATAACAAATACCCATTTAGTTTCCATTTGCCTCGGATCACCCCTTTGAGGAGGTCAGGGTTGGCACAAGTTGGCTTGCCATTGACTTGGTTGTAGGAACACATGACACTTGCAACATTCCCATCAAGAACACAGCTCTTGAATGGGGGCTGAAATGTGTCATCCAGATCTTGCTTTGTCACCTAACTCACCACAACAATTACATTAGCAAATTTTAGAAATTGAAAAAACAAAAACAAAAACAAAAACTGACTCAGAAATTCCTCAAAACAGGACTTACTACTGCATTGAATTCAAAGCGGTCAACGCCTTTCCAATGATCGACATCATATGCCGTGTAGTGTTTACAGCATGCGGCAACCTTGAGCCGGTCTTTGTTTCCAGCGTCCCTTTGCTGTAAGCCTCTCACGTAAGCCGAAGCGTATTTACTTGTCAGCAACGGGTCTTCTCCGGGAGTTTCTTGGCCTCGTCCCCATCTGGGGTCCCGGAAAATGTTGACATTTGGGGACCAAAATGTCAATCCTGCTAGACCGACATTGTACATTGCTCTAGCTTCAGTGGAAACCGCCTACATACAAAAATGTCGTTGAAAATTGTTCATTTTTAACTTATTGGACTAGAAACAGGTTGCATAAATCATGCTTAAAATTGTATCTGTGAAACCAAAATTTTGCATTCTTATATGAATGAAGCCCGGTATGCACATTTCCTTGCACTAAATGATTCATCAAGTTTCTCAGCAACCAAGCAAGCAAACAAGCAAACCAGCACAGTCATTTGCATATAACATTGAAATGTTTTAAAAAAAAAAAAAAACTACAAAATTAGTAATGCAATGAATCTTCTTGAGATAATTTAATTTCATTCCTCAGTCTTAGAAACAGAAAACCAAACTAATAAATCATTAATGGCCAATAAATTATAAATCCAACTGAAATACTGAAATTAAAGACCACCCCTGATGTTCGTGGAGTTTTTAATCTGAATGAAAGTATGAACCATTAAATAAAAAAACATGAATAAAAAAAAAAACAATTTATGTTCTTCCAATCAAATTTTTTTCTGCGACAATATTGCCCAAAACTTTATAAATAAATAGCAAAATGAAAATGTGAACTAACCCAATAGTGAATTTAATGCCAGATACTGAGAGAGAGAGAGAGAGAGTGTGCTATTGATCTTTTAACCATCTAAAAAATACACATTTCTAGAAACATGTCCTTTTCTAAAGCAATCTCAAAACCGTGATGTTCTGAACAAATCAAACATCATATTGACAAATTCGATTACAATTCATGATAATTATGCAAAACCTAACCACACAATCAAACACAACACTCTTACACGAGTGTGGGACTCGCAAAAAGACAGAATTCACATCACATTTCTACGATCAGTTTCTGCATTCCTAGAAACATAAACTAAAGAACATTATTATATAAATGTAGACATATATATATGTATACCTTTCCAATGGCTTCAAAGAGAGTGACATTGAAAGAAGCCGCAGTGAGAATAACCTGAGGGAAGCTAGTAGCTCCAGGGACTAATTCAGAGAACCTTGTCCCACCATGCCAGCCCGGTGCGACACCATGTAAACCCTCAGACCACCACTTGTACTCTGGAATTCCAAGCCTACTCACACTCCCTCCAATGTCCCCCAAGAACCCAATTTTCTCCTGCAATGTCAGCCTCTTCACCAAGTCCTTAACCCTCTTCTTCACCCCCAACGACCGATCACAGAAACCAAAACTCCCCAACCCAGAATTCCCCGCCATGTCGCAGGCGAAAGAAGGCTTGGTTTGGGCAAAAACCCGGGAGGAGATGAGGGAGGATTGGTAGAGAAAGAAGATGAAAATGTGAATACAGAGGAAAACAGAGTTTCCCCTGTTTTGGAGAGAAACAGAGGACATTGCTTTGGGTTTTGTTTTTGCAAGAGAATTGAGTAAGAGAAAGAGTAATGAGTTTGGTTTTATAGAGAGATTTTTTGTGTTTCTACAAACAAAGAGAATCTACTTTCTACTCTGTCTGTGTACTCTATCACTATAATTGATTCTCATGCGAGTCCGTGAAAAAGATTTGATTTTGCATTTGGTGAGATTTTTTGTTAAAAGTAAAAAAAATGTTTTATAGGGGATCCGCGGATTTTGATCCCGGAAAACACATCAAATTTTTTATTTTGCATTTGATTTTGTTAAGGAGCTTTTTGTTTGTTTGGATACTCTGTTGAAGTATGGCCCTATCCTATATGTCTATCGCTATTGAGAGAGAGAGAGAGAGAGGCGGGGGACCCAATTTCTCTGTCTGAGTTCTATGTTTCTATGTTTTTAGTGTTGTTTTTATAACAATTTAAATCCTATATTATATTAAATTTGCCACTTAGCCCTCTTTGGGTCTGATTTTTTAAATAATTTTTAAATTTTGGAATTTTTTTTTATTATAGCAATGAAACAAAATATTCATGTGTTTGAAAAATATTTTTTTAATTATATGAAAAAAATGGTAAATAACTCGTATGAATGACTTTTTTTTAGTGATTTTTAAATTTTTTTAATAATTTTTAATTTTTGTAACCAAAAAGTTAATATGCCAACTAAGCTAAATATAATAAAAAGACACCTTTTTCCTTTAATAATCCAGCAATGGAATGGAAGAACTTTGTAATATTTTCCATTCTTCACCTTGTTACATTGACTCGTGCTTTGCATTCAGTTACATTTTTTATTAATGCTTTATAATTTGTTTAATTACCATACTAATTGAATACAAAAAAACAAAACCTCGACTTATAACACAAAGCAAATAAAAAACAATCACCTTTGAAAAGTAATTACTGAACCTAAGCTACTTGAAGGAGCCAAGCAAGTGAAGTCTTGTCTCTCTCTCTCTCTCTCTCTCTCTCTCTCTCTCTATATATATATATATATATATCCCTACATCACACTTGTTTAAAATTTCAATTGTAGATTGGTGATAAAATCAATGGAGGCTAATTGAATTAGTCAGAACAGTTGCATTTTTTATTTTTACTTTTGGGTCTAAGGATTAACAGAAACTACTAGGAAAATTTTTAAAGCTTGAAGCTTCGAGGTAATATAGAAATGCAGTTTGATTAGAAAGTGAAAAGTTGGAATCTTGCTCTCTAAACCCACTAAAAAGAATAAAAAATATATACTTTTTATATAACTTTTTATTATTTGATAAATTTAATATTATTGACATCATAGAAGAAAAATGTGTGAACCCTTCTAGATAGAGTTTGATTTTATTCACCCTTTTGATCCAATTTTATTCATCTATCTCTCCATGGATTATTTAGCGAGTATAAGATAAATTTTCTTGAGAAAATTTTATATCAAGGTAAAGTTTAAAAAATAATTACAAATAAATGGTAAAATTTATAACTATTAATAATTAAAATTATAAAATTATTGTGAATGTGTAATAATTTTTTCAAATTGCAACTGAGTTGTAATTTTTCCAATTTTCTTTGGATAGGTACTCTATGACATTAATACAAGACATTCATTTAAGCTGTAAAAATTATTGAATGACACCATTGACATACTATTATTAACGTTGAATAGGTTACCATCATGGTGAATATTATTGAATGACACTATTGACCAAAAAAAAAATATTTTCTTTTTTTTATACATGTTTATATGTTGGAAAAAATGTCGTCTCACCCTTTTATAGAAATTTCTTTTTTTCTCAAATTATTTTTAGTAAAAAGTACAAAATAATGCATAGTGAGAAAGTTCAATTATTCTTGTACTTAAACTTTTTATAAACTAAATGATTACTGAAAAAGACATCATTTGCATTTTTTGTCAAAATTTTGGTTTTTCTTACAGCAGGCCATGGCCTCCTCCGGCAAAGTATGGTCCATTTTGGCCGCCCCATTTCATCAACCCCATATACAAAATAATAATTAATGCCTATGTTTGGGAAGTTGGGTTTGAGGATTTTTTTATTAAAACAGTCCCAAAAAATAAAATAAATTTTTTAGTCTAATAAGACAAAATATCGCATTCAATCCATAATCATTATATTCTTTCTCTCACAAAAAAATTAAAAAAGCCAAAAGTCTTTTCCAAATGAGACTTTTTAGCCCCAGGTTAAAATAGCCAAAAAAAGTTAAAAAGCCAACCCACTTGTTAAACGAAGCCAATGTTTGATTGAGTTTTTAAAAAAATAAAATAAAATTAGTGTGGAAAAAAATAACAAAACACTCATTATTTTCCTATGATATTTTTTTTCCTGAGATGAAAATATATTTTTTAAATTTTTTTTAATATATATTTTATTAATTTCTATTTTAAATAATAATAAAAAAGACTAAACAAATTTTAAAATTGAACCAAACAAAATGACTTTAAAAATAGAATATGAGGTTGTGTTTGGTTTACTTTTAGAATTGTGATTCTAATAAAAAAATTTCAAAACTCATAACCAAAATTTTTTTCAAAACTCTATTTTTAAAAAAATTCAAAAAAAAATTATTTTATTTTTTAAATTATTTTTAGAATCAAAATTTGAGCAAGTTAAGGCCAAGTTTGGGAACTTGTAAAAAAGTCAAAAAGTTACTTAAAAAGTTATAAAGTTAACACTATTCACCAAAAGTCAACAATTACGACTGCACAACTCCCAATTCGAATTTTTCTCTACAAATCAATTTTTACAATTTTTTATTATACATTTTTTCATAAAAAGTCAAAAAATTAACCCAAATATTCATATTTTCAACCTCAATTTTTTTGTCCAAAAAGACCAAAAATATATTTATTTAAAACACTCCAAACAACCCCTAAATATCAACTATCGGTCAATTTCATTATTAAAAGCTGAGACTTTGTCAAAAAATTAAGCCTATTTGTTAAAAAAGTTAAAAAGTTATTTAATTTTTCGACTCACAAAAAATTTACAATATTACCAGAAAATCAAAAAAGAGAAAGAAAAGAATAACTCAGTATAATTACTCTAATATTTAATTTTTTTAAAATACTTAAAATAAAAGTATAAATTACAAATACACCCCTAAGATTTTATTAAAATACAAATTCCTCCTGTAGTTTTGAAAATTACATTCTACTCTCTCAGGTTTCTAATTTCATAACAAATTGTCTATTTTATTAATAAATCATTAAGTCAATTAACAATTTTTAGTGATGTTAAAAATATATTTCAATTAATAATTTATGTAGTTTTATTATTGTATAAGAGAATAATTTTAAATTTTATTTTTTTAATTAATTCTGTTAAATAAAAATTTTTAATAAGAGAGGTATTTATAATTTTTTAAACTATAAAGGTTAATTTATATTTTTAAGCAAACCTTGAGAGTGTATTTATAATTTGTCCTAAATAAAAATTAAACCGAAGAGTCAATAAAGCATCAAATTTAATTTAACCATGCGTTGAGTAAAATATGAGACTCATGCGTCGAATTCAAATTGGCGGTCAAATCAAACCTGCTTCAATTCTAGAAGTAATTTCAAGCATAGATTTTTCAAATTGGGCAGCAGCGAATTGCGAGGCCAAGGGAAATTTTTTTAGTTTTATTTTGGTGACATGAATCATTCACTTTGTAAAAGATATATATATAAAATATGTTTGAAAAAATTTAAATTAATTAGTTATTGGTGTCCCTTTCATCAAGTCATATTTGTATTTAAATTTATACTAAAATTTAAATTTATCATTTAATTTTTTAGATATAAATATGTCTTGATGAAAGGGATATCAATATTTCGATTAACTTGAATTTTTTTAAGTATATTCTACTCGATGTTTTTTAAAAAGTGAACGATTTAAATTGTCAAAATGAGACTCGAACAAAAAGCCTTATACCATGTACAGTAGCCACCCAAATCCTAGATTTTTATGATGCCAAACACAAAATTACAAACACCACAGTTCAAACATGGATTGAAATAAAAGATGAATTTAAAAGAGATAAAAAGAGTCTTAACATAAGAAATAAAACAACATTTACGCAAGGAGAAAAAAATCTACACAGAGAGAAAATTTCTATGCAGAGCGATATTATTGTAATACAGGAACCAAAAACATTTTAAAATAATCACCATCAAACATTTTCACGATCAATCTATCATCATAACATATGGTATTGTAATCTTTACCTTTATATTATAAAATAAATTATTTTGAATTTGAGAAGACCACTTAATATATACAGAATATCAAATTTTAATCCTGAATTGAGTCTTAGACCCCATTTGGGAACATGCTAATTTAGTAACTTTTTGGTTATTTAGCTAAAATATGAGTTAAAAAAACTAGTATATTTGGGATGACTTTTTGACTTTTTACGAAAAGATGTACAAAAAGTAAAAAAAAAAAAGAATTTTTAATTTTTTAGTATAAACTGTTAGTTTTTTGACTAATTTAATAATTTTTTAACTTTTTAATTAAAAAATTCAATTGCCAAACGAGATGTTAGCCTAACAACTCTTCAATTTTAAAAGGTCCCAATTTCACTTAAAAAGATGGCCATATTTCACGGACCATTTTTAGACATCTACAAGGCTAGTGAATCCACGTGCTATAAGGTAGCGAAAAATGCTTGGGAGCATTAATTAGTGCTCCCACTAATTAGGTGGTAGCGGGTCACGCCATTAATGATGTGATGTATTGGTCTTGGAGTTGTATTTTTTTTTTTTTTTTTTAATGTATTAATGTTATTAGTGGTGATATTTTTATTGGGATGAATATTGTTGATAAGGTAGCAGACGCCATAAAGAGGATAACATATAGGTGGGATAATAGATATCCTTCTCAATTATTTTTGGTTTGGTGACATGATTATCATTTGGAGCATTTCTCGCAAGGGCATGTCAGGGCCTAGTCCAATTCTTTCCTCCACAAGATAAAATGACAAACAAAATTCCATGCTAGCTTTAGGCCTTCAACAATTGGACTTGATTTTCACATCTCATAATTTCTAGCTAAACTAATTTAGGGATGGTTTGAAATGATTTAAATAAATATATTTTTTATCTTTTTATGAAAAGATGTGTAGAAAAGTAAAGAGATGATGTGATGAAAAAAAGATAAAAAGATAAATTATATTAGAGATGCCAAACTTAGCCTTAGTTATTATAGCGATCCCGG